CACCCATCTAGGGGTATTTCAGGGCTCACCATCAAAGAGATGAGGGGCTTGCCCAGGGAGGTGGTGGAGTCACCGACCCTGGAGGTGTTCAAGGAATGTTTGGACGTTGTGTTGAGGGACATGGTTTAGTGAGTGATTGGTGATAGGTGGATGGTTGGACTGGATGATCTTGTAGGTCTTTTCCAATCTCGGTGATTCTGTGATTCTGAGATCTGTGTCACACACATTAGTATCCCTCCTGTTTAATTTTAAAAGCCAAAAAGCAGCACCACAGAGCCAGGAGGAAGTTTCCCCATCTTTTAGGGGGACTTTAGTTCATCTGTGCATCCCTAGAAACGTAGCCTGCTTTTGCCCTGCTGTGCATCCAGCAGGCATGATTGCCTCCTTTAAGGGCTGGGTTACCAAAAAGCCAGAACAGAACTCAGAACACAAGAGCCTGATTGAGAGCAAAACCTTAAATGTCTAAAAGAAAAGAAAAAAAAAAAGTAGAAATGAATTCAAGTGTTCAGACAGCACCCCTGGTGCCTGCCAAACCCTGCTTTGCCTTCTGCACCTGCTGTGCACCCAGTGAGGACTGAGGCAGAACAGAAGCTGGCCTGGTTCCCCAATTACTAGCACTGAGTGCATCCCCAATTGTGGGCTTACCATGGATGCATAAATCCTTTGTCTCTAAGCCCCATTCACTCATTTGGCCTTACCAATGAAGCTGGAGGCTCACAGAGGTATTCATGCACTAGCTGATAGTCCAGATCGTTGGCTATAGGTGTAATCCTGCCTGGATCCTGATCCAAAGGATAATGACAGGATCCCAAATTTGTTCCCCTGCTATGACACAGCAATGCCTTGCTTTCTGCCCAAAACAAGCAGGGTTTGCTGCAGGGAAGAGAAAGTATGTCTGCAAACCGATAAGGCCTCAGCAGCAGCACAGCCAGAGCTGGGGTTAGGAAGGAAAGATACTCAAATCAGTGTCTGCATGCTGGGAAGCTGGCAGCCCCACTGCAATCACTACCACCAAACTGGCACTGGAGGCACTAATGGGCAGCTTAGGGTTTTTGGAGGGTGGTATCACAGCTGTTTGCTTTTCTGCCTTATCTTACAGAAAGTAGCAAATGAGGAACAAAACTTCTCATACACTCCAAATGCTAAACAATCTGGCTCAGAGCTAATGTGTTCCTATTGCTGGGGCATCCCCATGCCTGAACCACACACTGTCCAGGGCTCCAGCTCAAGGGTCACAGCTCCCATCTCCTACAGCACCCAGCTCTAGGTTCACCCACCTGCCCACCCTAAGAAAACCTCTCTGCAGCGTGGTAGTGGGGAAGGATTTCAAATTTTGTCCAAATATCCCTCTCTTCTATCATTTTATTTACTTCCCATCAGCTCAGCTGAGCATGCTTGAAAACTTTGACCTCGGTACATGAAAGAAAACCAAACCAACAAAACAAACACCAAGATATTACAGTGTCAAGGTAACAGAGTGTTTCTCAAGCAGGTGCATGCTATCTGTTGCAGCCTTTTCCACCATGCTACAAGTCTACAAAGTATCAGAAATGGATTTCAAAGTCTTCCAGCAGCGTTACCAGGTCTTTCTAAGCAGGCTGCTCTGTAAGTTGAACAGATTTGCACAAATTTGTGCTTGTCACATCCTCAAATGGAGTGCAGGTGCTGTGCACATGGCCGGGGAATTCCCTCGTTCATAGCATGGGTTAAATTTAGGTGCTCTGTGGGACACGCTGTTAACGCCAGTTTGCTTACCCAGGGGGCAAACCTATGAAGAAAACACCTATTGGGGATGTTAAAAAAGGAGAAAAAAAAACAAATTAAAAAAACCCAGCCCCTACAAGCAGCCATTTAAGTGTGCTTTCACTGTTAACATTTTTCAGCGGAGTAAAGTAGCAGAGAATAGTGGTGATCAGTGTGTTTCTTTCATCTGCTGGTCTATCTCCCTTCTCCTCCTTTTCTTTCTCTGTTTTTGATGCTGCTATAAAGGTCAGTGTCATGCTTGTGGTTTTGGCACAACCATCTATGTGTATGACTCATAGGGCCCCAGAGCAGATGCAGGGCTGAGCTGCATCTCTGCCCCGTCCCTTCCTGACCAGCTTCTGCAGGGGAACACCAGCAGCTCCACCCTTCACAGACCACAGCTGAGCTCTCAGAAAAGCCTCATCCACCACAGGGTCCCCATCTATTGTCTGTGTTGGGTAGATGAGCTCTGGGCTGAAGCATATTGAGTCATAGAACATCCCAAGTTGGAAGGGATCCTTAGGGATCCATCTCCTGGCTCCACACATGGCCACCCAAAAATCAGGCCATGGTGATGCTCCTCCTGCTCCCAGATAGTGGGACATCATTGGGGGGAGAAGGGGGGGGGGGGGGGGAAGAGTGGAGCTGGCTCTGGTGGGGAAAGCAGGGCAGAGAGTTTCCTATCCATCTTTGCTTGCTACATCTCCATATTCCCTTGCTGGGTAAGGAGAGACCTGTAGCTTCACCTTGAGTTTCTGCTTCTGCTAACTTCTGCAGCGGTTCCCTCCACACTGACTGACACTTTAAATATTTACAGGAGGGTATCTATGGTGACAGGCAGGTTATGTAAAGAGGAGAAAGCGGTGGTGAAGGACAGCAGCTTCCGGAGCTGTCGTTGTTTTGGTGCAGGTGCTGCTTCCATAGGCACCACTTGTGAATAGGAGGGAGAAAGCAAACCCAAGCAGGATCCTATTTCAACACAGACGTTTCCTCTTCTTCCCCAGCATAGCCAGGAGGGTGAGAGCCCAGCTCAGCAGCCTGGGGAACTGCTGCTGTGCCACCCATGGATAATTCATCAGTAGGTGAATAGAGGCTGCAACAGTGCTGATGTAACACAGCTAAAAAGAAAACCAGTGCATCTGCAAGCAAGCTGGTGTGCCTCAGGGTTAAACAACAGAGGTACTTTGCGATGCTAAGGAGAGCAAGAGGGGTAGTTTGCCTTAGGAAGGTATACAGGCAACCTAAGGGAAGTCAACAGTGAGAGTTAGCAATGAATCTGGGCTCTGCTGAACCCTCTCACCCAAGTTTGCCAGGTTACAAGGCTTCAGAAGGACTCAACAGCTTGAGCTCAGGATTTGAATTCAGACTGCACAGAAAAGAGGAAGTTATTTGGTGGCAGCCAGCACTGTCTGGGGGACAGGATATAACAAAGCAATTTGAAGCCTGAGAGATTCCCACTGTCCCCACAATCAACTTCCTTTTCAGGCTCAGCTTAACTGCTTAACCTAGGCTTGCACAAGGGCTCTGAATCCTTGGTCTTTTACTTCTACTGTGCAGAAGCCCCACATATCCTCAGCTGCTGTGTGAGGCCTTTTCCTCCTTGCTCGTAGTGCTGCTTGAGAAGTGAAAGCAAAAAGCTGCAGCTACTGCTTGATATAAGCAAGCTGTGGCCTTAGGAAGCATGGCCAGGCTGTCTACAGGCACACAGTGAGTTACATGGAAGGCTTTGACCCCTATGTTCCCATTACTACCCCTCCTCCACGGTTGGGTAAGAGGAGGCAGATGAGGGCTGCAGCCTTTCCTGTGAAATGGGAAAAAAGAGCATGGTATATAGAACAAGTGTTCGTAGGAGGGATTATAACTTGTTTGGATATTTTATACAAAAATAAATAAATAAATAAATAAAAATCAAACCCCAGCTGTGGCTATAGAGCAGTGGAGGGAGAAGGAATTCCAGCCTACCTTGTCAGGAAGAAGCAGCCTGGCTGCTAAGGCACATGCAGCTGCACGGGGAACATCTCTTCCCAGCATCACAAGGCTCACTGAGGGCAGCTCATTGCAACAGCCCAGGACTGCACATCGAAGAAGAGAAAGAATGACAGCCTTCAGCAAGAGATTGGTTTTTATTGAGGACACCAGGAGTCCTGTGTGCTGCCAGCTGGCCTGAGGAGTGACAACAGCAGTAGACTTGACAATGACAGCCAGAACTCGCAGTGGAGACTGTCTCTGTGGAGGGTGATGTACTTAAGAACCCCTATATACAGATCTCCAAATCTCTTCCCACCACCAGTAAGTGGATATGTTTGCAGGTGCAGCTGCATGGTCAGCATATTACCACTAAACTGCTCGAATGGGGCTGGTGACTGCCAGGAGAGAGCTGGGTGATGTTCCACAGCGCTTTAGACTCAATCTTGCCTCCAAAGCCTGCAATGAAGCTCTGCTTGTACCAGGGGAGAGGGACAAGGAGCCCTGGCTCTTCCTCCCACAATGCCATTCTCTGTCCAATACAAAACATCTGCAACTGTGTTCAAATGCTAATCAGGTCTGGGGAGATACTGCAGGCTGCAATGCTGTTTTCATACATGCAGCAGACCACATGGAGGGCCCAGAACTGTCCTGAACATCAGCATGGGGCTTTCCTCTTTTATCTCAATAAGATGAGATCATCTCCGGAAGCTGAGAAAATCTCAACTGCCACTTACTGTTCTCAACAGGTAAAAGCCACAATGAAGGAGGGAGGTGAAAGCTGCTTCAACAGGTATTTTCCATCACTGTAGCTCAGCAGATTTTCCAGCAGGAACTAAATCTATCGCTGTGATGGTTTTCAGCTCAGAAGTGGCTCTGCCTCCTTGCAATGAGGGCAAAGCACACCAGGAAGCCATCATTTCAGCTCGCCTGAGATGTTCAGCTGCTGAGGCTTTTCAAATTCCTCCTTATTGTTGATAAGGAGGAGAGAAGAGGAAGTGGACACTGTGTTTTACGTGGCTGGAGATCAGTCCATTTCTCCTTAATTTAAACACAAGCCCTACATATGTTCAATATCAAAGTCCTTTTGTATTTCACAGCAGCGTGGTAGGTTAGTGAAGCCAGAAAGAGACAGAATTGAGGCAGTATGTTGAAGGAGCCCATGCAAAATTCGTGCAGCATCTAAAAGGCTGATCTAATCCTCAGAATTTCAAAAAATCAAAAAAGAGAGATGCAGAGGGATGTGTCCTTATTCCACTGGGCTGTTTCAAAACTCATACGCTGCTTTCTGATTTTTTTTTTCTTCTTAATTTATACCAAGAATTCCAGCAACAGTTTGATAGAGAAAAAACACAGTAGTGGTGGCTGAGTGCTGACATACTCCAGGGTGGTCTAAAACATGAAACCCTGGAGGCAACAATGAGCACTGTCCCAGGTAGGAGAACAAAGCTCCCTGTTTTTCAATACCACACCCAGCATACACATATTTGCCAATGGCAGATCTGTCCCATGCTGCAGTCCAAAGCTCTTGCCTTAGAGAAGTACCTCTTTTGGGGTCACAGGAACCTTCTCACGTGACAGTGCAGAAGTTTGGTTTAATGCTATGATTTTGGATGGGCGTTCTTCAGGTTGTGTCCTAGGGGGCTGTGTGTATTCTCCTTGTGCTACACACCATCCTTCTCTCAAGGAGGCAACCTGCATCCCCAAGCCCAGATGCGTCTCAGTCCTCATCCATTCTTAGTGAAGATGCAGGACTGCAGTTCTGCAGAATTCCACCCGGATGGCGCAGCACGGAAATGCACACAGGTGAACAATACAATGCCTTCCCAGAGGTTTGATGGAGGACTTCAGGCATTGACCTACACTGAGAGCTGGCTCTGCCTGGTAGGGAAGACAGGCTTCTATCTTCCTTGCAAGGTGTATTTGCCTTTCCGATCCAAGTTGTTGCTGAAGTGGATGGAGAACCAGTGGAAAGAAGTCAGAACCATACCATAAACCTAAAAGGAAATAGAAAAGATGGGCAAACAATTAAATGCTGAATGGAGAAGGATGCTCCAGCTGTGTGAATAAGTGATCTTAAGTGTTGCCTGCTGGTTCAATTGGCACTTCTGAATTTGTTACGTATGAAAGTGTCAGACTGTTCTTGAGGGAGCTCTTTTCCACCAAAAGGGTGAATATCAATTCCAACATGGGATAGAAGAAAAAAAAACAAAAAACAAACAACATGTGGTTAAAGCATCTGATTGGAATTAGCACAGCACGACTCAAGCTTGATCCTAAAAATATCCAAAAGCGAGAAGAAGCCAGGAAACTCAGACTTCAAACTCCTTCCTCAAAACGACCCTCCATGCAAACAAACTCATAATAGCCTTTTGTGTACATAGCAGAGAGAGAGAGAAAAAAAAAATCCTCATGCATTGTTTGGAATAGAACAAAAAACAACAAAAACAAGCCCTCAACACACACACAGCACAAGTGCAGAAGATGGCATGCTTCCTTTGCACCGCGCTGCATCTGATCACGTCTCAGGATTTGCACAAGCAGCTTATCAAAGTGAGGATGTTGCAGGAGGTGTAAGAAGGGCTGCAACAACATGCCCTGTGTTGGCCTCATTGTGCAAATCGGTGGGGACACGTCTGCCGCAGGGATGGGGACATCAGAGCCGTGGTCCCAGCTGGCTCACTTTGCTCTGCATCCTGCCGTCACAATGGCTACCCTCATGGTGGGATTTCCTTTACTGCACACTTCAAAGGCTTTCTTGCATTATCTAGCTATAACATCAAGTTGTGGGGGAAAACGTGGTATAATACAAGTATACGAATAGAAAAATACAAAACGCTCCACTTCAGTGTGGATATAGCTAAAGCAAAATTTCTCCTACACCAAAGGATAATTAGAAAGCAACACCATATATTCATACGTGACTTTCCATTATGCATCAGCTATATGTCCTGAGGATTTTCTGAGCAAGAGCTCAGCAGTGCTAAGATCCAATAAAGCCTTAATGCTAAAGCTCTGTATGCATGTACGTAATTCCATGTAAGTAGAAATGTACCTATAACATTGCCTGATGGCTTTCCTAGCTTACTACTAGCAGTATGAAATACACACACACACACAAATGTGATCCTCTGGGTTTTCTTGAGAAGCCTTCTATTCTTCATTGTGTTAAGGTGGATCCAAATCCCTAAATACACGCTGGTCAGGAGAACTTTCCCCATCTTAAGAGCAGCATAGAAATACCACAGAAGATAAAACCTATTTATTTTCTAATTTCCGTGGTGGAGGCCATCACCATTGATTTTTTCCAGTGCTCATCTTCAAAACCCCCCAAGCCCCCAGGTACTTGGGGCTTATTTAGGATACAAGTCCCCTGTGGGGTCAGGAGCACGTAGGAACAGGCACAGCTACCGTGAAGCCGATGGTGATGCTCAGGAGTGTGGAGACAAAGCCCATGTGCTTCTTCAGGAAGCCATGCATCTCTTGTAGGCAGTCCTGGAAGGAGAGAGACACCTTTTGCAGTGTGGCAACAGCTCAGGTGGGTAAACAAACACCTGCACTATATTTTCCATTACTACATATGCCTACAATTTTCTTACTATGATGCGTTTTAGTCCGCAGAGGATGGCATGTACACTACACACAGCTAACGTGGTCATACACAGTGTTGTTTTTTCTTCCTCTGGAAAACGGAGAGGGTGATGTGAAAAGACAGGAAAGCAGAGCGTGTCACAATGCTTCGTGTTCCCCAAAGAAACTAACAGCTCAGCATTGAAGGTGCCACCAGCATTATTATATATTAGCATTAAGCACTCTGGCAACCCCACTGAAATCCATTGGTAGCCAAGAGTCATTTCAAGAATGCACAAAGCCTGCCCTTGACTTTGAAGAACAAGGTGAAAGGGCTTATGGCCCCACAGCATCAGCACATGAATGAATGAATTGCAGCAACCAAATACTGTGGTTCCCTCCAACCAAGTGCAAACCATTAGTGGGGCTGACCAAAGGCACAGTGCCCAGGGTTGCTTTACTCTTTCTTCCTGCTCTTTGAGCTGAGATCTACTTCACTTTGAGGCTGGATTTTCCAGGAGGCAGCTGGAAACCATTGGTTAACACATACTGGTGCAAAGGGTTGTGTTACTGCTTATCATAGAATCATCATATCATTAAGGTTGGAGAAGACCTCTAGGATCATCTAGTCCAACCGTTCACCTACCACTAGTATCGCCCAATAAACCATGTCACTCAGTGCCACATCTCCACAGTTCCTGAATACCTCCAGGCACAGTGACCCCCCACCTTCATGGGCAGCCTGTACAAATGCCTCACCACTCTTTCTGAGAAGAAATTTTTCCTAATATCCAACTTGAACCTCCCCTGACGCAATGTGAGGCCATTCCCTCTTGTACTGTCAAGACACAACAGCAATATTTCCACATAGCTGTAGCAACACCATTTGTTTTTCCTAGGGACAACTCATGTTCTGATGCTAGTTTTTTTTATTCCAGTGGGAAAAAGCATACAGGAGATTTACTCAGACTATGAAGTCTGTGTTACAACTTCAGTACACGCACAGTCTAATACTGGAGGGCTCTTCAGTACTTCATTGGCATATTGCAACCAAGTATAAAGTCTGCTTGATGAAGCTTCTGCTGGACAACATAATCCTGCTTTATGAGTTTCTCATTTAAATTTTTAATACCTGTTTAATGCCCTTGGGAAAAGGAATTACAGTCATCGTGTGCTCTTTCAACATTTGCTGTTAGCAGAACACGTTTTAAGCCTTAGAGACCAGAACCACGTGACAAATTCAATAGTGTTTTTCCATCAGACCCGTGCCTGTGTTATCACACAACCTCCACACATGCAGAAGACGAGGAGGCTGGAGAGAAGCAACTTACCCGTCCAGCAGCCCATGCTGTGCCAGGATGGCACATCTTGTGCTCGACAGCAGCTGTGTCTCCAAGAGGGGAGGGCTTCCCACAGCACAGAAACTGCAAGAGAGGGTGAGTAAATGGGGCTGTGAGGAGCAAAGCAGGCAGGCAAGCAGTAGTCACAGTGACAGGAGCTGAACACACAAAACTAGACAAGGATTGTTTCACCATCAATTATAGTGGCTAAACTAAGCAGATGCCTACCATGCTACGCATTCCAGGTCATTGGGTTTGGGAGATAGCTAGCAACTTCCAGCATTGCAAGAGCTCACGTTATCACAGAATCATCTGAATTGAAAGGGACTCTTAGAGGTCATCTGGTCCGACTCCCCTGCAATGAACAGGGACACCTACAGCTAGATCAGGTACACAGAGCCCTCTACTCTTCACCAGCAACAGGCTCGAGGGTAGACAGAAGTAATCAAGTCCAAGTAGTTCTGTTAGATTGTATAGAATTCTCACCCTCTCTATACTTGACTGAAGATGCTAGGAAGGTGTATATGGCCGCTCTCATACTACATACAGACTTGGCAAAAGGCTGGTTCCAGAGGAAAACAGTACAACAGCACTGGAGAAGCAGAGCCTGTTGGAATCAATGGGCAGGAGCTCCAGAAAAAGGCTTCTGTGAAATCTGGAAGATAACTTACTACTTCATGGATGAGAGTCAGCTCGTGCCTCTTGGAGCTAGAGCCATTCCTCCTCACCTCCTCGTACACGAGGTCGTACACGTCCAGCATACTGTCCTCCACCTGCAACAGAGGCAAACACCTGTACAAGTGCACCAAGATGAGCACAGCAGCTGCCCAATTGGCTTACGGCTGAAGCTTTTGGCCAGTTTTGGATGTACTGTCAAAGAAATACAGAAACATAAGTGCCTGTGACATATGTGCCTCCATGTCCTTCCATGTCCTGCCGGGGGGAGGTGACAACATCGTGTTCTGAAGAGAGGTTACAAGGACAAGTATTTGCCACCGTGCTAAAACATAAAGGTGAGAGCACCTCCGATGGACAGCAATGATGGAAGAGTTCCTCTGAATTAAGTCCAAAAAATAACGGAGTGACTCAGTGGTGAATCAGATCCTAAATATTTACTAAAAGTATGAGAACTTGCAGCTTGACAAATCCCAGCCAACTCCTGCTCAGCTTTCAATGGAAAAATATGACAATTGCTTTTAGTGCCAGGAAAAAAAAAAAGGAACAGATTTATTTCTTCCTTTCATTTCCCCTTGCTTCGCTGCCCATATTGATCTGAATGGGCTGAAGGCAACACTTGGCTCTCAGAGCAGAGAATTGATCCACAGGACAGAGGGAATGGGGTGGAACAAGGGATCCTGGAGCGAGGCCACCTCTCAGCACTCCAATGTGGATGTGCATACCATCCTCCCTCTAGGAAAAACTTAAACCCCAATAAAAAGCAAAACATTCAAACTTTCCTAACTTCAGGTACGCCATAAAGCAGCTTCCCAGCAGCAGCAATTAAGTAAATTAATTCAGTAAAAAAGCTTACCTCCACTGAAGAATTGGATTAAGAATAATGAAAAAAGGGATAATTTTTCATCCTACTCTTGTGGTGTTGTTACTTTCATATCCCTCATTACCCACAGTCCTTCCAGTACCTGAAGCAGCCTGCAGGAAACTGGGGAAGAACTGAACCTGAAAGGCAGAGTAGCGATGGGGCAAGGATAATGACTTTAAACTAAGAGAGAGGAGTCTTAGGTTAGATACAGAGAAGAAATCCTTTATTCTGGCGGTGAGGCACCGGCTGCCCAGAGAAACTGTGGATGCCCCATCCCTGGAAGCACTTAAGGCCTTGAGCAGCCTGATCTGGTGGAAGGATGATCATACAAGGTCCCTTCCAACCCAAACCATCCTACAATTCAAAATATTCTGCTGCAGATATCATATGCTCTACACTGCATTGTAAGTACAGTGAGCAGTGCAGCTGCATGCAGTACTCCACAGAACACAATCAGAAAAACCCATTTCCAGAGAGACTTCTTATTTTAGACATCCTGCAATGACACCAAGCATTTTGACTGGGGCTGTTTGAAAGAAGGCAGGTGAGGGAAAAGGCTGAAGGAATGAGATTCCCACAACAAACCTATGGCAGAAATGTTTTCCAACCATAGGAAACAGTGAGGGAAGAGCCACAGGCAAACACTGCTTCACAGCCTTCTCAACCGCAGCCACGGTGATATCAATGAGGAGAAAATAATCTCCAGACACATCATGGCTACTGAAGACTTCAATTACACAGTGTTCCTGAGCTTACTTCTGAGCTGTGTTCTTCTTCAGGTACTGATTTTTTATTTTCCCAAGCAGCCTCCGAGAAGCAAAACCACAAAGGATTAAATGGAAATTATTTTATAGCAATGATTTCCTTTTAGAACATGTGTCTGGGCAAGCCCGAGAGTACAGTCTGCTGATCAGTCCTTCTCAGTGCTTCTATCCAGCAATTGCATCTAGCATTTGTTTCCTCTGAATACACGATTCAGATTGCAGTAAGGCACCAAACATGCAACTACAAAGCCTGCTTTCTATTTTTTTTTTTCCTCTTTTCAAATAAAGAGCGAATTGACTGTAATTTCTCCACATCATCTTGATGAGTTTTGCAAGAATGATTTGATTTTGGAAGGGAAAGTAGCTGCCTTAAGACAACGTGGCAGTTGGTTTTCACAGATTACTGTAGAGAGCTTTCTAGTTTAAGTATTGCAGTGGTTAAGTGTCAAGTCTTAAATCCCCACATTTATCATTGCTGTTTCCTTCCATGCAGGGGACCACGCCACAGAGCATAAGAGGTATAACAGGAGGACACAGCCAAAGGTTGGCAGTAATGTCATCATATCATAGATTGGCTTGAATTGGAAGGGACCTCAAGGATCATTAAGCTTCAACCCCCACATTTAATACCAAACCAGGGCCCCATCCAAGCTGGCCTTGAACACCTCCAGGGATGGGGCATCCACAATCTCTCTGGGCAGCCTGTTCCAGCAGCTCACCACACTCATAGTAAAGAACTTCCCTCTGATATCCAACCTAAATCTTCCTTCCTTGACCATCTCACCAACTTGCCTGCCCAAGATGGTGTTGTGTTGTGCTTAGAGCTCAGCCATCGCACGTGGCAGCCTCTACCCAGACCGAAATGGCACACAGCCTCATGCATGTCTAATGACGGGGAAAAAATAAAAACTGAAAGTGTCAGACAAGGTCACCAGATGGGTTCATGACACAGCCTTATTTGTGACAGTGTTTATTTTGCTCAGGAGACACAAATTCATCCCTCAACTTTCCTGCGAGCAGGAACATGGCATAGCGAAAAGAGTACTTCACTGCTTCACTCCAAATTGCCATAAATTGCTATCACACACTCACTTTTCATTCCACCACCCCAAGATTTTTTTTCTTGCAGCAGGTGTTGGAGAAAAAAATAATTAATCAGGGTGCTTCCTCTCCCAATTAGGCAACCGGATGCTTTTTGATTGGTTATGCCGATACTGTTCATAAAGCGCTTTAAGAAAGCCACAGCTGTGCCTCATCCCTTAATAACTCAGCAGATAACACATAACCAGCAGAGACACCTAGAGAAAGAAAGGCTATCTGGGCTTCCCCTACAGAGGTTCTACACTTCCACCCCACGTTTTCACCACTCTGGTCACATGGGTTTACCTCTTCCTGATGAAGCACTGATGACTTACCACGATTCAAAGATGCTTAGAATGAATGCTGTGACCTGTTGCTGGAGGAAGTCAGTGGCTCAATTTCTGGATGGAGGTTGGTGACAAGTGCTATACCCCCAGGGGTCAATCCATACAGAACCTCCCCTCTGAGGACAGGCTGAGAGAGCTAAGGCTGTTCAGGCTGGAAAAGAGAAGGCTCTGGGGAGACCTGAAAGCAGGCTTTCATTATCTAAAGGGTGTACTGAAAAAAAGAAGGGGACACTCTTGGCAGGATCTGTTGCTACAGGACAATGGGAAATGATTTCAAACTGAAAGAGGAGAAGTTTAAATCAGATATAAGGAAGAAGTTTTTTACAGTAAGGGCAGCAAGGCACTGGCACAGGTTGTCCAGAGATATGGTGGAAGCCCCATCCCTGGAGACGTTCAAGGTCAGGCTGAACATGGCTCTGAGCACCTGATCTAGTGTAGGTGTCCCTGTTCATTTCAGGGGAGTTGGACCAGATGGCCTTTAATGGTCCCTTCCTACCCAAAGGATTCTATGATTCTAGGAGTACTTCTGGGCAAAGATATCCCTTGGAAGGAAAATACACTTCCAGTGCTTATCTGTTAGAAAACAAACAAACAAAGCAGTGAGAGCTGGAGTATCAGCTGGGCTTGAGAAAAATCTCCAGGTTAAGTGGTACAGAGGTCACACCTTAGAGTAATTCTTTTCCCAGAAAGAGCTTGGCAAAATATTCCAACTCTAAATTAGTCAAATAATTGCTGTGTCTGTCTGCATTCCTTAATTAAACATTCATTTAGGGGTGATAGAGATAGGTTTGCAGATGCAACAAATGGAAAATCACTGAGATTGATGCTGCTGACATCAAGCAATTTAATAGAACAGCATTTTTCACTTAGAGTAAAAGAACGAAGGAATTTTGAGACTGTTTATTACGCTCTATATCCTCTACACTCCCTAAAGAAGCAGAATTTATGATTTCAGGAAGGCATTTAGTCTGTCTAAACCACTCGTGTTCTTTCCTATCTGTTCACTGCTGCCGAGAGGGATGCACTTGGTGTCATAAGGCAGTGTTTTAAGATGTGAAACTGGAATAAAGTGGTTGTCATCCTCTACACCATTCCTTGTTCCAGTATGAAAACCCGGTCATTGCAAGTTGAAGCTTTATGCTTCCCTAACAGCACTTCAGCTCCCTTCCTCGCCCCCGCATCAGGCTTCCTCCAGCTGAGAGCTCACAGCTGCAGAAACACGGCCAGCATGCAAAGCAGAGCAGAGCAGCTCGGAGCCCCCGCCTCCAGATGGGTGAGATCAGGAGACGCTGCTCCTCTTGGATGCTGGAGGTCACTGGACACTGCTGATGGAGTAAGAGCAGGGAGACCCAAATGAATCTTATAGGCTAAGTGGTTTTCATCATATATATCTGACATATATACACACACATACATATGCAATACAAATATTTATTTAAATAACTCATGCACTTTCCCCCTCTTACCGGTTTTAGGACAGCAAGAGTCTTTTTTGTTCATCACTGATAGCACATGCAAATAAAGGGGGAAAGAAAAGCTGCTGTGAAACCGTAAAGCCCACAGCAGCAACACTTTGCTGAGCCATTTCTCTTCAATTCCAGCACCTTCTGCTGCTGTAAGTGGTTCGCACAAGGAGCTGATGAAAATGCTGACCTGCTTCACTGCTCCCCTCCCATCTTAGCGTTGCCTTCCCGAAACACAGATGCAGGCAGAGCTCCTCCAGGGGCAGAGCCCAGCTCAGAGCAGCAGCACTGGCAGCCAAAGTGCTCAGCAGCTGCCAGCTCTGGGGCGGGTGACTCACTGCTTTCCAGAGCAGGGGCACAGCTCTGCTTCTCTGGGGGGGAATGCTGCCTGGAGGCAGGGGAGCACCAAACCACACCAGTGCACGAGCTGAGCATCCTGCCTGCCAAGCAGGTCAGATATATGCATGTAAGTACGTACACAGATGCACACAGAATCATTTGAGTTGGAAGGGACATTTAAAGGACACCTGGCCCACCTCCCCTGCAATGAAGAGGGACACCTACAGCTCGATCAGACTGCTCACAGCCATGTCTGGCCTGACCTTGAATGTCTCCTTTCAGCTGCTGTTAAGCAAACCTCATTTTTCACCTCCACACCCCAAACCAACAGCAAAAGTTTGGCAGAAGTCTGGCTGGGTGGTTGCTACACCAAAGGTTTCTTTCTTCATAATTCTCCATACCTGATGCTGCACCTCTCATCATAGATACCAGTCTCAGCGTGCCAAGGTCCTCCTGTTTCTTTATTATCTTTTTTTATAGCTAAGTATTTCAGTTCACAACATTTTGTAACAGAATGGCAGCACTGTGGTTCAGCAAAGGGCATTCACAGCTGCCACCGCTCAGATCCAACCATTTATGAATCTCTCAATTTTGTGGTCAAGCCATCTCTCACCTGCAGCGTGTGAAACTGGCATCATTCAAGACTGCTTCATCATAGAAAAACACCAAAACTGCTCTCAGATTGAAAAAAAAAAAAAAAAGAAAAGAAAAGAAAAAGGGAAAAGTTGCATCAGGAACAGATCTGATTCCAGGTGAGCACCATCACCTATAGAATCATTTGAGTTGGAAGAGACCCTTGAAGGCTATCTGGTCCAACTCCCCTGCAATGAACAAGGACACCTACACCAGATCAGATGCTCAGAGCCCCATTCAACCTGACCTTGGGTGTCTCCAGGGACAAAGCACACCACCTCTCTGGGCAACCTGCACTAAGATCACGTGAGCCTGGAAGCATCATCCCAAACTGGGGTGATGGGGACCATTGGCTGGTGCTGCTGGAGGCAGCAACTCCAGCTGCAGCTCTGCAGTGAGAACAGCAGAAAAGGGGCCACGGGTTCAGAGCTGGGGCAACAATAAATAATGAAGCATGAGTGCCTCAGCAGTACATCAGACAAAGGGGCGTACTGTCTCCTACGTGATGGGAACACAAACATGGGAGAGATGCATGATATTCAGGGAAGGGGGGGAGGGGTTTTCCCCCTCCCTTTTCATATTTTTTTTTTTTTTCCATACTTCTGAGAAAGCAAAAAAGCTCAGTGTTTACTTTAGAGCAGTTGTGCCTGGTAGCGTGAATAACACCAGGAAGAAGGAAGACATCAGACTATTTCTGTCATTTTAACAGCCAAATCCCCACTTTTTGCGAAGGCCCTTGAAAGACCTGCAGCTTTGTGGCTGCAATCCTGTCCCAGCTGCATCAAAAAGGAACCAGCCAGTGTGATCTGATTCCGGTTTCACAAAGTACTGAACCCACCTCCAGCTTGCATTTAAGTCCCATTAAAATCACTGTGATATAAGCTTGTATTTAAGCATTGCCTTAGGTGGGGCCATCACTCTGCACTGGACTCTGTAAAAGCTGGCCCCAGCATAAACCAAAGCAAAGCCAAGCAACCCCTACATCCAAAGGGCACGGGAAATCAGGTGTGCACACCAGAAGCGTGGGCAGATACTCAACAGATGCACACTGACAGCCTGAACAGGATGAAGGGGGCACGGAGCAGCAGCTCAAATCATCACCTGCTGTGAGGCTTTGGGTATGTCAGCAGTTCCTCTTTTTATTTTTCCTGGCATTCCATGGCAAAGGGAACTGTTCCTCTAGTCCAACCCAGGAGAAGCTTGGCACCACCACTGCACCATTGCTTGGCTTCAAGCATCTCCCAGCATCAGGAGGTAAATCATAATTTACTTGCTTTTAAGCTAACGTTTACTTTCTATCAAATCTATGTAATTAAGAGGCACCTTCTGATGCAGAACTGCCTTCAGCAGTTCTGTTTCTGCTGATTCACCCTCCCATCCCCGTGGGCTCACAAGGCTGCTGAGGGCATTCCCTACTCTGCTGCAGAGAAAAACCAAAATGTGACACAGCAGATCCCTAGGCCTTTCCCTCAGCAAAGCCCAGAGACAAGCCCCCCAAATCTGTTTTGTGTTTGTTATCAGGAATACCCAAAGCCCTTCTCAGCTATAATAAGCATCCAGAAAGCTCAGGAATCATAGAATGGTTTGAGTTGGAAGGGACCCTTAAAGGCCATCTGGTCCAACTCCCCTGCAATGAACATGAACACCTACAATAGATCAGGTGCTCAGAGCTCCATCCAACCTGACCTTGAATGCCTCCAGAGACAGGGCTTCTACCATCCCTCTGGGCAGTCTGTGCCAGTACCTGACCATCCTCATTTTTTCCTTATATCCAATCTAAACCTCCCCTGTTCTTGTTTGAAACCATTTCCAGCTTTTCCCTCCAGCCTCTGCAGGCAGGTTTCTCCAGCAGCAATTAATGTGTGAGGAGAGAAGGAGAGCTGGCAGGTCTGCAGGAGGAGGAGCCGCCCAGCGAGCTGTGCCAGCTATGGCATAAACCTACAGCCTTCCTCAGATCCCAGCTGCACCAGGCTGTGCTGGGCAGTGGTTTACGGGAAAGGAGTTGCCTTCAAAATAACTTCTTTCTTGGAAAAGAAGACTTAGCTCCTTGGCTTCAAGAACCAGGACTTCCTAATGTAACTGGAAACCATCAGAAAACCCCATCCTGTCGGTGGTTGTCACAGCTGTTCAAAGTGGGGTCATCTTTGCTACCTTTCTTCATGTGTCATTCTCTCATCAGCTGTCACTGGTGTCACTCCTCTAACAGATTAGTGACACTCTCCCACCAGGAGACAGCAAAAGCAGCTTGTCAGCGGGCTAATTACTGCTGATCACCACTGATTTCATAGAACTCAAGTTGCATCGCCAGAGAGACAGGTGGAGGATCTGAGATGTTACTCTTAGTTACCCTTCCCCCATTTTATCCACCATTTCCTCTGCAGAACCCGCCAGACAAGCATACACTGACATAACATAAACTTTTCTCAACATAAACTTCTCTGAATTTATGCAGACAGATGGACGCAAAGAAGATGGTGCAAAAGAGGGCATAAAACACAAAACCCAGTTACTGGTCATGTGGACAGACCCATAGAGCAAGGGATAAATCACAATACTGACTGGAGGATTCAGACTTCCAGGGTAAAGCACAATACATCTCAGATTCTTGTTTTTCACATGTCTGGTAGAAGTTGTTCTACAAAGACTGGTGACATCGATTCTGTCTGGGATGCAGGTAACTTGAAAGCAAGAAAGACATGACAGATCTCTGAAAGAACAGGAGCTACAGGAAGTCAGAAGAACAGCAGAGATTGAAAAATGAGAAACATTCATGTTTTGTTTACAGTGTCCGAGTCTGAGAAAATGGAATATTTACAGATAAGTTGTCTTTTTCTCCTGTCCTGCATAGCTTCTCTGTAAAAGCAATGTAAACAACTGGTCTCTAAAGGAGCCAAAGGCAAGCAGGGCACCTTGCTTTCTACTGCCAAAATCATTCTTCAACTGAACATGGGACTTTTCCATTCCAGATGATTTTCAGTAAGAAGGGTTTGCTCTATAAAGGGAATTCAGGATGTTTTTTAATCAAGAGGATTAACAGAAAGTAAGAATCTGCTGTGGTTTTGTGGGCAAGGAAACCAGGTTTGGGACACACTCATATCTGCATTCCTTCCTCACTGGAAAGACAAGTTTTTTCAAGCAAAACCAGATTTCTAAGCGTTTTGTAAGTGATACTCCTAATTAAATCTTTCCTCATTTCAGCCCCTGTCTTAATTTTCATCTTTGCAAAAAGAGAAACCCAGGAGGATCTCCAACAGCATTTCAATTTTTCTGTTGTCAGAAACACTGCTGGCTTTCCTTATCTGGAAAGTAGACACTGAACAAAAAGCTCTCATCTTGCCTAGGAAAAACTCTTTCTGTTTTGTTTCAGACAATACCAAAAACCAAGTACTGAAGGTAACCATAACATGTGGAAGCATTTATGGACAAAGCACTTGGAAAAAAAAAAAAATAATAACAACAACAACTAGATAAGGATTTGAAGCAGAAATACTACTGGACCATCCGTATCCACCCCATGTTTGCAAAGTGGATGGACAAACAGATAGAGGGGAAAAAAAATATATATATGTGCCAAGAGAATCATTGGCAAAGGGCAAGAAACAAGCAGTCAGCCCTAAGCCACAGAGCGTTAGCATGGGGAAAGCTAGGTTGTAAACACAGCTCCTGGGTGGTTGCCCTGGAAGTCAGCAGAACTAGAGGTGGCCCCGACCCACTGCAGCCTTTGAACAGAGGCTCCCAGCTGATATTACCCAGAACTGGAGTTGATGCTGTGCAGCATTTCAGAAAAACATAACTTCTCAAGAGTCAAGCAGCTCATTTTTCAAAAGCAACCTCCCAAAGCCATTTAAAGCAAGTCTCATATCTTGTCCTACCTGGACATTTGCCCTGTTCAAAGGTTTGTACAGCAAGCATTCCATGTTCCTCTCTCCCTCTAGATGCCCTGCAGGGAAAGGCAGCCCTGCTCTCACAAAGGATAGACCTTGATAGGGTGGCTTAATTACCACCAGCTGCCCCTTCTAGGGTAGAAATCACTGCAAAACCTGTGAAGGAAGTCTCCTGGCATCTCCTGCAAAGACTGCTTACCTCTGTGCTGTGCATGTATCTCCAGCAGAGAGCTGGTATCATCCCACAGAAGGCCAGAGCAAAGCAGAAAAATGCCTGAGGAGAAAGAGCAAACCACCACCAGTTACAACAGGGGGAAAAACATCCATTTGAAAACACCTAGGAACATATTTAGTGTGCTTACATGAGCAAGTCTGGTTAAAGCTAGAGCAGAGCATCACTTTCCCCTGGTGTGCCCTGTACTGCTGTTAGTTGTCAGGGGTGGGATGTGTGTTGTGATTCTCCATCAGGAACCAGTGATTACAATGAGGCTATTTAAAGGGATTGACCAAAAAAGCACTCAGCTTCCTATGGAATGGTTAACCTAAATCTTCCTAAGGAATTTCATTCGCTCAGCTAAGGGTTTCATGGTGGGGAAAAACTGCCTGGATAGTCCATATATGCATACAACAGGCAGATGGAGAGCAGCCAGCGTTGGGGAAGGAGCAGGGCTTCTGCTGATCCATGTCTCAGCAGTGGCCGCGCTGTGTTGTTCAGACAAAAGGATGACAGAAACACCACCAAGGCCACCGAGTGACCCTGGAGAGCCCAAACAATGCAGCAGTGACACAGGAGGCGGCCGGACTCTGTCCTCCTCCCCAGGCATGGGTCTGGAAGTCAGGCACGCTGTCGTGTTATTTGAACAAATCTAATCTCAAACAAAACCCAGACCTGATGTAAACATCGAGAGTTTGTTGTGACAGCTGGGCCAAGGGCTCTGATCACACACACACATACAAAAGTGGCTGTAAAATATTCGAAGACCAATTGGAGGTGTTCAAGAAGCATGGAGATGTGGCACTGAGGGATGTGGTCAGTGGGCATGGCGGGGATGGGTTGGTGGCTGGACTGCATGATCTTAGAGGTCTTCTCCAGCCTTAATGATTCTAAGACTCTCTGAGCACTCCCCATAAATTATTCCCTTTGCAAGTTTTTCCATGTTTCCTCTTCCAGAATGGAGTTATGTAGCAGGGCAGAGTCACCCATCTGATCATAGCTTATTCTATTTTTTTCTCTCTACGAGTATTCCAATAGTATGACTTGGCTGAAACCTCCTAAAAATTAAATCACAGAATCACAGAATGGCCACGGTTGGGAGGGGCCTCAAGGATCACGAATCTCCAACCCCCCTGCCACACGAAGGGACACCGACCTCCCTATTTAATACTAGACCAGGCTGCCCAGGGCCCCATCCAGTCTGGCCTTGAACAAATAATTCACAAAAGTTTATCAAATTCAAGCTTAAGGGAATAAAGGAGAGTAACTTTTGCTTTAGAGGTGTGGTTTTCCAGAGGAAAAAAAAAAAAAAGAAAGGAAAAAAAAAGAAAGAAAGAAAGAAAGAAGCCCCAAAACCTCCACATACTGCAAGAAAGGAAAATGTGTTACATCAAATCCTGGAAATGAAAGCAAAAATGCCAGCAAGATGAATAATCAGATTGCTCCTCACTGGAACCAGCCCTTGCATTTTGCTGCCTCTTCTCACGAACCCCTGAACAAACTGCATAGGAAAGTCAATACTTCTACCTGATTTTAGATGAAAATCAGGCTTGAAAAAAACAGAAAATTAAGGTTGAAAAGCCTCACTGACAGCAATGGGAAAGATCTCCCATGTGAACCTGGTCAGCATTGCCACTGTGTTTCTCCCCCTGGGTCTCTCATCCTTCCAGCACTTGCACCATCACTGTCTGTGGCTCAGCTCCATCCCAGCCCTTCAGTGTGTGCTCTCCCTTCTGCCTGCGGCTCTGGGAGCAGATAGAGGCCCCTCGGGAGCCCACAGCCGGTGCAAAGCAATTACATGGCTCCCAGAGCATCTCATAAATGAATTATGGGCTGTACTCTCCTCTTGCCAGCCAAAAGGCTTTTGGAAGCACAACTTTGTAATTACATTAGAAGGCATTTGGAGGAAGAAAAATAAGGCAAAACAGAAAAAAAAGAAAAGAGAAAAAAAGAAAAAAAAAAAGAAATGAAAAGGCAATACACAGCTTGCATGCAAAATGCAGAGGGGTTCCTGGAGGAGGAGGAGGACAGAGCCTCCCCATCCCATCATCACCCTCAACCATCAGTTCCTCTTCTGTCCATGACCTCACTCCCAGCCTTTCTGTGTGGCAAACACGAGCTGCAGTCTGTCTGAAGGAGGAACCCACCCTCAGCTTTGCCTGCTCCTGGGAGCACTGGCACACGGATGCCTTGCAGCACCGTGAGGAGATGGATTCACTGCTAAAGCAAGATGCAGAGCGTGCTGCTGGTTGTCAAGGACCCTTGCAGCACTTGCCTGCAATCACACACCTGGGGACAGTAAAGCAAACAGCCTGTGCTGCGTGCTGGCACATTTTGCCTGCTCTCTCCCTGCCTGGACAGTAGTCATTGCAAGGATAAGCAGACAAGCACCTTCTGTATGAGCAGCTCTAGCAAAATTGCCCTTTTCCTTCCTCTTCCTCCCCTACAATAGTGACATGGCCTTCGGGGGCCCTGAGAACTGCAGGATGTTTACATTCAGCACTGCACCACGTATCACCAGACAAAACTGCAGCTGGAGGAGAGTCAATAAAGCTGTCACTGCTCTTCTCGTTTAAGAGGAGCTTGGGGGATAATAGTCCAGGATTTTGGAACACGATATTTTATCCTTCAGATCTCATTACTCAACAGCAACCAGCACTGCTGGATGCACACAGTGATAGGATGAGGGGGTGTGGTTTTAGGCTAAAAGAGAGATTTAAGTGAGATGTCAGGACAAAATTCTTTACTCAGAAGGCAGTGAGGCCCTGGCGCAGCTGCCCAGAGAAGCTGTGGATGCCCCATCCCTGGAGGGGCTCAAGGACAGATCGGATGGAGCCCTGGGCAGCCTGAGCTGATGGGGGGCAGCCCTGCCCAGGGCAGGGAGCTGGAGCCTAGTGGGCTTTAACGTCCCTTCCGACCCGAGCCGTTCTGTATGATTCCGCCGCCCGGCAGCGTGCGGTTCCCTGCGCCGAGCCCCGAGCTCCCCCCAGCGGCCGAGCGCGGCGGCACCGGGCCGGGCTGCACGGGAGGTGGGGGTAGAGGGGTGGTGGGACGTGGGCGGACGTGGTACGCACCGTTGCCGTGAGGCATCGCGACTCTCGCACCGCGGCGACGGCGCTCAGCAGGGCGGCGAAGATCAGGGTCATGCTGAGGAAGACGCCGACGTAGAAAGCTGGAAGGAAGACAGAAAGAAGTGAGTTTAGGGGAGGTGGTACAAAAAGAGTTGAGGGATTGGAATGGTTTGTGAGTGATCCATCATCCCCCACCTGCTCTGCAGGTTGGGGGCTGCAGAACAGCCGGGCTCCCCGAGCTGGCCCATATCTCACTGCCTCATCCCCAGGCAGGATGCTGCCTGCAGCAGATGCCCTATTGGGGCTCTCTGCACAGCTATCTCCTGCAGCACTCACCACTGGCTTCCTCCCAGCAGCACAGGGCATGGCTGGGCCAACCTGTGCAGCCCATGGTATAACCTGGGTTGGGAACAATGAGGAGATGCTACATGCGTCCGAACCCAATAGAAAACAGTAGGTCACAGGTGATGGTGTCCAACCCGATGGGGCTGAGTAGCCATGGGGTTGAAGTGACCAATGGGGTTGATGGTTTTAGCCTCAGAGCCCTGCCCAGCCATTGTGTTCTCCAAAGGTGTGCCATACCTGCGTGGTGGATGTCCCGGTAGGAGCTGCTCTCGAGGGCAACATTGCTGATGACGGAGAAGTGAAGCCCATAGCGGGTGACTGTGCTCAGTGTAGCAATGGACAGTCCCAGCAGCTGGAACGGAAGGTTGGCATCAAGGGAGTTACAAGGCATCAAGATCCCACTGAGTGGCACACAGCTTCAGTGTCCAACAGCACGCATGTGCCCCCAGATGCAATTAAAAGGACAAATTCTGGACACACACTAAAGTGATCGTTTCTGAAACGAAGTACTTCTGAACTGCAGCAATATCTGCTTACAAATAATCAAATTCATGGCACCTTCAGATCCTTCATGCTGTGCATTACTGCCTATCTCAACCCACACCCAGCAAAATGTGATATGAAACCCCAGTTAGCTCAGATTGCTGAGGAACACCAGCCTCAATGAGCCCCCAAGGCAGCAACACTGCACTCCTGGCTGTGTTGCAGCTGCTGCTCTCACCATGTTGAGTAGCAGTCCTCCTGCGCCTCCCCAGGTTACCTGCAGGCATTAGCTTTTTAATTACACTCTTCCTAAGTCACCAACTCTTTTTGAAATGAACACAGAAGATTTATTTATTTATTTTTAAGATTGGAAGTTTCCATGAGCTGCGTGGGCAACAAGCCTGCCAAGCTCAGAAGTGCCCAGGAGAAGCATTCCCAACATCTACGTTTTCCCATCATCAGTGTGGTTTCCCCTGAACTCCCTGTGAGACATTAGGAAGCTCCCATTAGATTTGCCTCAGAAGCTGCTAGAAAGGCTCACCAGGACTGCTCTTGCTTTGCAGACAGTTCCCAACCCCACTGGCCACCCCAACCTCATGGTCACCCCAACCCCATTGGCCACTCAATCCCTTGGCCACTCATCCCCAGCCTCATGGCCACTCAACCCTATCAGAGTAGACACCATCAGCTCCCATCAGAGCCCTGCATTTCCACACACACACCCATCCCACTACTGGTGCCTACCTTCCTAGAAGCAAACAGAATGACACCAGGACTCTTGTTTATACCCCCAAACACAGAAGCAAACATCTTTCATTGCTGAAAACCACCCGTTCTGCTTTCCTTTCTCCTTCAGGCTGAGAAGCAGCGGTGGCAGAGCAGTAGCCCCAGCAAAGCAGAAGTCTATCAGCTCGGGGAACGGTGCTGGTGGCTGGCGATAACCACGCAGCACTGTGATAACTCCAGCAGCTCACTCTGCTCGCCCTTCCACGCCCCATAAAACAGAACGTGGGAAAGCTGCCCTTCTCCGAGTGCTTAAAGCAGCCATGCTCTTCTTCACCCCAATTTTTCAGAGACCCTCTCTCCCCCCCCAAAGCCACACGCTTACCATGACACAGAGGCTGGCAGCCATCAGCTGGCACTTGGTGCTCCTCAGCCCCATGGCTCTGTCCCTGTAGGGCTGCCCGTTGGTCACCCCAGCTCCTGATAAGGCACCGGAGGAGGCACAGCCGCAGTGGGGCCTCTCGGAAAGTGCAGTTCCTCCTCCTCCTACCCCAAGCAACAGGCTCCCCACAGTGTTTCGGAAACTATTCAAGCAAGAGCCAGTGTCAAAATACCCAGTTTTCTCCCCCCCACACGCACATGCATTGTCCCTCCCTCTTTTCTCCTCACCCTGATCCCCCCCCACCCCGAATCCACAGCTGTGGGAGGGAGCTATGAGAGTGGCTGTGAGCCAGTGCTTAGCTCTGAGTGGGAGCTATTGAGCCGGTGGGAGGTGAAGTGGGCTTGGGATGCTGTTTCTCCCAGTCCTTGGTGCTTGGGGTGCTCGTGGGGTTGGGTTGGCCATGGGGTTGAGTGGTCGTGGCGGGTCAGAGTGGCCAATGGGGTTGGGGGGCTACATGCAGGTGAGTGGCCAAGGTATTGGGGTGGCCAATGGGGTTGAGGTGGCCCATGCAGTTGAGTGGCCATGGGGTTGAGGTGGCTGAGGGAACTGATTGCCCAAAGGGGTTGGAGTGGCCAATGGGGTTGTTGAGGTGGCCCATGAGGTTGAGTGGCCATGGGGTTGAGGTGGCTGAGGGAGCGGAGGGACCAATGGGGTTGAGTTGGCCATGGGAGTTGAGTGGCCATAGGGTTGGAGTGGCACAAAAATGCAGACCTGGGGAGGACAGTGCCAGGTCCAGGGATGCCTTCTGCATGGGTTTGTGCTTCAGAGTCTGCAGGGTGCATCTTTCCTGATGTTAAAATGGTAAAAAAGTCTAAGAGCAACCTGGTCACCAAGAGTGACTTGGTGCCTGATATCTTAACAATCTGCAGCTTCAGAGTCAGGGTGAAGCAGAGCAGCGAGAAATAGTTGCAGCCCTCCCATATGTCAAAGAATGGGGGAAGACAGAAAACTTATCCCACATCAGCAGCTGCAGTAAAACAACAAATAAAGAACGAAGAGATGGGTGGGAAAAGGAAGGAAGATGTATGTTGCAGAGCAAAGATACGCAAGAGAAAGAGTGTCGCACAGGAAAAAGCGTGACACCACTCTCCCCTTACAAAGCCCCTCGGGTGCAGGCTCCGGAGGTGCCCCCAGAGCGGCCGCAGCAGGAAGCCGAAGGAAGCCGAAGGAAGCCGAAGGAGGCGGCAGCGCGGAGCAGAGTTCCGCGCTAGGGGGCCCCATAGTCCCGCACAACGCTCCGACGGCCGCAGCGGGGAGGGGGTCTGCAGCGCCCCGTGCACAAACGAGAGCGGGGGCCGATGCAGGGGGGGGAAGCAAAGCACCGCGGGGTCCGCTGGGGAAACCGGCGTGGCGGCGATGCGGAGGGCCTTAGGGGGCTGCGCTCCCTCCCTCCGACTCGGGAGCCCGGGGAAAACCGCCGTCTCCCCAGGCCGCTTTGCCGGTGCGGAGGGAAGGATGGGGGGGGTGTTGGGGTGGAGCGAGAGGGTGTCCCACCCCGGGGAGCGGGCTGAAATAAACCCGGCTATTTGAATAAATAAAGACAAACGA